GAGGGAGGTCTTTCATCTCCATTTTACAGATGGGGACACTGAGGCTTGGTGGGGCTGGGGTGGGGGAGGGTATAGTAAGAAGCAGAGTAGTGTAGTAGCAAGAATGCTGAGGTCAGAAGACCTGGGTTTGAACCGTGCCACCTGTGTGACCTTGGGCCAGTCACTTCACCACTGTGGACTTCCTCAGTTTCCCTGACTGTAAAATGAAGGCATTGGACGTGATGACCTCTCAGGTCCCTCCTAGCTCTGGGTCTTTGAAAGGTCCCAGGGGAGAGCCAGCCCAGGTCTTCCTGACACCCAGTCCAGCATCTCCATGAAGTCAGGGGAATGTGTCCAGGATGTAGAGGCATCCCCTTTTTCACTGGGTTGTCTGTCATGGGAAGAGTTGAGGGTTTTGGAGGGGAAGTCTGGACAAGAAACGTGCTTCTTCTGGTCTCCCCCCTCTCTGTTTTCTCTGATGCCTCCAGGGATCATGGTGGGGAGGGGGTTAAACTCTCAGTGTTCACTAAAGCACAGCCAGGGCTGCCTGGGTCCTGCTTCTTTAATGGAATCCCTTAACTTGGGGTCCCTGCTTGAGGCTGTGTCTGTTTCCTGAAAGAAACATCCTGTCCAGTGTGGATGGGCTCTTGAACAAGGTGATTTATGACCAGGAGAACCCTTTCCTCACTGGTGATATCAACTGTCTTGGGCTAGGAGGGGGCATGCCTTGGTTGGCTGGGGCAAGGGAGGGGGACACACAGATCTTTTGAAAATCATCTCAAGAACCTTGCTTGTTTTAAAGTACTTTTGTGAAGAGGTGGCTAAATGGGGCAGTAGAGAGAGCCAGAGACCAGGGTTCAAATCTTGCCTCAGAGATTAACTAGGTGAGTGAGCCTGAGCAAGTCCCTTAAATGTGAAGTACCTCAGTTTCCTCACTTGTAAAGTGAGGGAGTTGGAGCTTCGGCCTTCAAGTTTCCTTCCACATCTGGTGCTACTGGTTGAGGTGCTGCATCCTGCCAGGGCATAGCAGCTTCTTGGATTGTGCAAAGGGCCAATCTTCCTGGGGGGAGGACCGGGGTGGGGGAGCGCCTGGAGTCTGGGGGCCTTCCTTCCCAGCTGGGAGGTGAGGTCAGAGTCTGCCGAGGCAGGCTCAGGATGGGGGCGGGAGCCAAACATCTCATGGTCACTTTGTCCCAGGACATTTTGCAATCATGTTCTTGGCTTGCCTTAGCCAGAGCGAATGGCCGCGTGAAGCTGATTTAATTCATCTGAAGAGTGATGCTTGGGACTCCTCCTTGGCACTGGGGCTCCTGGGCAGCAGAGGCAACCCTAGTGAGCCCCCTAATAACCGTCTCCTGAGACCCAGGCAGAGCCAGCTCTGCCGCCAGCAAGCCGATGCCACGGATGCCTAACTATGCCCTATTCAACCATGCAACGTCATGGGCCAGGCAGCCAGTCATCCCCGGAGGCAGCACCAGAAGGGGCCATAAAGGGTATCCTAAGGTCCCAGCCATCCTTTGGGGATGAGGATCAGAGGACCTGAGTTCGAATCTCATTTCTGACTCTTACTACCTCTGTGACCTCAAGGAATTCGGGGCCTCAGCTCGCTCACCTCTGATTCGAGGGAGCTGGACTTTGCAGTGTCGAAGGTCTGTTCCGCACTAATCTATGATCAGTCCAATAGTGGATTAAATTAAAGGTGGGAGCAGGAGTCAGGAAGACATGAGTTCAAATCATGCCCCTTCCCAGCCTTGTGACCTGGGGCAAGTCTGGGCCTCACCATTCTTTTCTGCCAGTAGAGCGGGGTGTACTAGGTGACCCCTGAGAATCCTTCCCAGCTCTGGGCCTGTGATGCTGTGTGAGCTTGGCCAAGGAGATCTCCCTCAGTGTACTCATGTTGTAAAATGCAAGCATTGCACTCGATGCTTTCTAGGATTCTAACAGATTTCTTCTTAATGTGGAGGGCCACAGGCATGTGTGAGTCCTTGCCCAGCTCTGTTCATCATTCTTTGGATGAAGGTCCAGCTGGTAAGCTCATCACTCCTGCAGATACCACAGAGTGGGGGAGGATGGTTAGCAGAATCCTAGACGTCTCCACCAGTTAGCTCAAGGGGCAGTAGGGGAGGAAGATGGACCCATAATGGGGAGAAGTGCAGTCTGATACAGGAGTCAAAGCCCACACTTCTCTGGGCCTTCCATCCCCCTCATTGCCCTCCGGCCCTGCTGAAATTGTTTCCTCCAACATCCTGGTGTTGTTCCCATGCATAAGCACAGCTTCTATGGACGTGCCCAGTAAGGGAGAGGTCCACGCCCTGGGGTCTGTCAACGTTGGAACGCCAGAGGAAGACGAAGATCCAGGCCTGGGGCCGAGCAGGACACGGGCCCAGAGGCCTGGCCTGCACCCCAGCCCTCCTGAACGGGGATGGATGGGCAGGAAGTCCTGACGGAGAGGAGAGCGTGGGTGCGAGGATTTCTAGGGGTCTTCTAGCTCTTTATCTAGTGTATATGTCTTTGACCCTTTCTCTGCCCCTGCCCCCATTATGCGGGCTCCTTCAGGGGAGGCTCGGGCATGGGGACTTTGGGAAAACCAGTAGCAGCCCGTAAGAACTGGAAAGTCTGCACAAGACTTGACAAATCGTATCTCATTCGATTCGTACCATAGGCCTGCAGATTGGGTGTGATCACCCCTATTTTACAGGAGAGGAAACTGAGGCCAAACAATTTGGGTCCCAGAAGGAATAAGCATCTGAGGCACAACTGACCCCCCAGTCCAGGGCTCTCACCTCTAGGCTGTGTTATTCCCTTCTAAATAGTGACTGAAAACCTGCCATTTTATTTACAGAAAACATGCTCTTTCTCTATGATATTTTATGCATTGAATGAATTTAAGTGGTGCAGTTGCTAAGCCAGTACAGATCTGTCAGGCTGTTGGTGTTATTTCTAATAAGGCTTTTTGTCAGAGAGCAGCTGCACATCATTCAGTGGAGGCACTGTGACCTTTCTGCCTTGGTCTCCCTCGTGAGCTCTCTGCCCACCTCACTGTCCCTGTCCCGTGCCTGTCTACTTTATCCACAGACAGCCCAGCTCAATAAACCGTCTCCACACCAGTGGCCTTTTTCATCTACTTTGTTTGCTGTGGGTGGCTTGTGAGGCCCCTCTCTTTTCACTTGGGAGGCCGTCGGTTCATGGGATCTGATGCTGCCATCTTCCATGTGGACAGCTCTCTGGATGTCATCTCTGTCCATAAGGATTCCCTTTTCCATTTCAGCTCTGGGTAATGCACAGGCAAGAGCAAACTCGCTGTCAAGCGTGCGTGAGTCTCTGGTCTTTGCTCCCCTCGATCCTAAAACTCAGAGTATTGTAGAGCAAAGCTGTCTCGATGCCTCTGCTGAAGAGCCTCATGGTCTCATCCCAAGCAGGATGCTGTGGGAGGAGGGACTCAGAGGCTAGATTCTCTCCCAGAGTCAATTTCTGCCTTTTGCAATTAACAAGCCACAAGCATGTGTCTTCCTCTGTCAGGGCGATGTGGACAGAGGAACTTATCCTGTTTGTTTCTCTCAATGTCCCCTTGTTCCCCTGAAGAGCCTTCTCCCCATGATTTTATAGACAGGTGGAAGGAGACCTGTTAGGAGCTGCCAACGACCCCTTGATGGTCTGTGGGGGATGACAGTCCTGGCTGGTATTTGTCCCACATGTCCCCTCCTTCCCACGTCCTGGAGGGTGTTCTGAGAACGCTTCAGTCATTCTGCATGTTCCATTCCCTCCCATTGGGCGGCTCCCCTCTGTCTCAGTCTGATGGGGCTGTCACTCTGACTTGGCCATTGTCCTCTGGTACATCTCACTAACACATTTACAAATTGAACTCCCGTGTCCTTGGGCGTCAGTCTCTCTTCTTGGAAGATGTCACATGTTTGCCAGCTGAGAGGGCTTCTGGGCTCTCTAGTGGCTGCACCATGCAAGCGTGGGTTATTGGTCATAGGGAGCCTGGGGAAGGGACAACTTTGTCATGGCCTGTCATGTGGGGGAAGGGCCAGGCTTTCTCTCCTTGGCCCTGGAGGAGAGGGAAAGTCGTCCAGAGGGGCGATGGGCTGCCTCCAGAGTAGAGTCTTCCTGCCCAGGGGAGGTCATCGAGCAGAGGGCAGAGGACCATTGACTGGGGGGGTTTTAGAAGGGGCTCCCGTGGGTGCAGGAATGCTCTGGTTGGCTCCTGAGGGCCCCGCTAATGAAGAGTCTGAGATTCAGTCCCGATAATCCAGACTATATTAGCACTGTGACTCCAGGAGTGAAGCATCACAGTTCTAGTCAACAAGCATTTATTATGCTCCTACTGTGTGCCAGGCACTGTGCTGAGCACTGTGGGTACAAAGACAGAACACAGTCCCTGCCCTCCTGGAGTGCACAGTCTTGCCCAAACAAACCAGGCCCTTAGCGCAGTGCCTGGCACACAGTAGGAGCATAATAAATGTTTGTTGAATTGAGTTGAACTATGTGCAAACAAGACATGATCATGGCACATTGGAAATAAGACACAGAGAAGGCTGTAGCATTGAGGGGCTCAGAGGCAGTTAGCACTGAAGGCTCCTTGTGGAAGACAGGTTGCAGAGACGCATAGGCCAGCTTCTTCATTTTACAGGCGAGGAAAGTGAGGCCCAGGGGGATATTTACCTGTGCCCACGTTAACTCCTGTCATATGCGTTAACCTGTGTAAGCTAGGGCGCAAACCTTAGATTGCTGCAAAAATACTAGCTATTACTTACTGGTAGAATGGTAGAATGGCACCTCCGGAGGGCAGGACGTTTTTCATTCTGTCTTTGTATCTCCAGGCTTTAGCACAGCGCCTGGCCCAGAAACGCTGGTTATTCGGTTGCTTGATGGAGGTGGGCCGAAAAATAGTCATTGAAGCCAGAACTGGAAATGACCTAGAGTAACCAGCCAGACCAGGCCTCGTGCTTACTGAGCCAGGAGTGTTCAGGGATGCGTTACCAATACCTTCTTCTTCTTTTGTCTTTTTTTTTTTATAGAATCGCAATGAAATAAAGAATGGAGCCATTCTGCGGTTGGCGACATCCCCAGTGAGTTGGTCTGAAACTTGTCGTCTTGTTCCTGTCTCTTCTTCTCTCCCCCACCCCACCCCAGAAGGCTGCCGTGATGGTCAGGCCACCAGTGGGAAACTTTGGAGGTCACACTGAGCCGGGCTTCACAAGATGTCTTTCCTTCCAAAGTTCTCTGTGGGCCAGCACCACCCTCCTCTTCCACCTCAGACAGAGAGCTCATTTCCCTACAAGAACAGAGGAAGTTGGTGGTGGAAATTCAAAATGAATTCTCCGTTTTCCTTCTCTTCCTGTCCAGTTTTGAGTTCAGTGGTTTTATATATGTGTGTGTGTGTGTGTGTGTGTATACATACATGTATATATATATATATATATATATATATATATATATATATACATGTATGTATATATAAAACCTGCTTTACAAATGGAAGTGCAGTAGTTAACTCCAGTCAATCCCCAGGCCTACAAAGTTCCTGGCCCTGATGGGAGTCTAGATTCTGGCCACCTGGGCTGCCCTGTGTCCTTTACTTCTATAAGAGATGAGAGAGGGAGGCAGGGCCTCGGGCTGCCCTCCTAGCTCTGGAGCCAAATGCCCTGTGTCCTTTTGGCCTTGGTCAGTAACTCTGCCATAGGGGTGACATCATCCTCTGTGGTGGAGAGGAGGTGGGAAATAGTGGGGGCGGCATTTGGAGACCCCTCCAGAGGAGGCTGTCCCAGAATGGCCCATCCGTCTAGGAACTGTCACAGCCTGTTTGGCACCATAGCTGACTCCGTCCCCTCAAAATTACTGCTGGCCTTTACTTGACCTAGAGAATGCTTCTCCAGTTAGTGGTACTTGTGTCCACGGACTTTGAGAAGCAGCCCAGGATAGTGGATAGGGCTCTGGGCTTGGAGTCACAAAAACCCGGGTTCAAATCCCACCTCAGAAATTTCCTGGCTGTGTGACCCTGGGCAAGTTGGCTAACCCCTCTGTGCTTCAGTTTCACCTGTAAAAGAAGGGGGAGTGGGACCTCGAGGGCTCCTAAGGTCCCCTAGAACTCCAGGTCTGTGGTCATTTTGTTTTCTTCCAAAACTGATTTGCTTATTGTGGAAATGGCTTCCACTAATGCAGGTGGCCTCAGCTTGTCTTATTTTGTCTGTTTAGGTTGTGCTCACGGTGTGTGTGTGTGTGTGTGTGTGTGTGTGTGTGTGTGTGTGTGTGTGCCTAAGCCCTGGGTTCAAACCTAGTGTTGGTACTTTCTCTTTGTATTTATTACCTTAACCTTTCTGGGCCTCAGCTTTCCTGTCTTTAAAATGAGGCAGTGGCACAGGACTGACGTGCTTGAAGGATCCACCCAGCTCTTAATCCCCCGAGGCACCGGAGATCTGCTCATTGATTTGCCTCTAGTCTTACAGTTGGTGAAGAGCAGGCCTGGGATTTGAATCAGGCTCAGGCCTGCTGCTCCCAGGACTCTTCCTGGACCTAGTATGCTGATCTCATGCCTCAGCCCCACCTTAGCACATCCTCTTTTTCTATCAGTCGGGGAGGGCTAAGGTCCTTCCCAGCCACGTCTGACCATGGTGATCACTCACCATTTAATATAGTGAGCCTACCCTGAATGACAAGCGCAGGTCTTCTTTGAAGGCCTTGGCATCCTTTGAAACCTTATATGGGTCATGATGAGAAAAGCAGTGTCTCATAGAGAGTGTTGGCTGTTGTCAGAGGTGTCAGCTGCTGGGGTTTGGAGCTGGATAATAACTTCAGCAGCTGTCCATCGGCTCAGGACTCTGAGCTAGAAGGGAAGTCTAAGCCCTTCCTTTTACAGATGAGGAAAGTGAGGCCCAGAAAGGTGTAGGGACTTATCATAGAGGGAGTAGGTAGAGCCTCTGACTCCAAAGCCAGACAGTTACCCCTCTGAGACTTTGCGTTAGATAATTTTACAGGAAAAATATACTTCCCTTTCCTTTTTTCCCCCTGCCTGACTCTCAGGGTTTTTCTTTTTCTCCTTCCCCCCTCCTCTATGATACTGAATGCCCTCAGGTTGGGGTGGGGGTAGAGTGGAGGGAGGGGGCTTATGGAAAATGGAAGTGAATTAAATATCTGCAGGAATGGGGCTGCTGTTACACATGCAAATCTCCCTCCACCTTCCTGTGGTGGACACAGGAGTTAAGTGGAAATATTTTACGGGCAAGATTCCAGGCTTTGCTGGGCCTATTCTCTGAGGGGCTACTTTGAATCTCCCCCGTTGGTGTGCTTGTGAAGGCAAGGCCCAGAGACACGAGTATTTCATCAGAGGGCTCTCTGGGAGAGAAAACCATTAGTGAGGAGGCCACGGAAGCTTCCTCCTGGATGGACGGCCTGCGTGGACACTCAGGCCCTGGAGAAGGGTGGGCATGCTGGAAACCTCAGGGCATCTGGGAAGCTCATTAAGGCCATACATCGGGGTTCTGTAGTGTCAGGGAAATTATTGTTCTTTTGGGACCCAGCCCACCCCAGGTAAGTCTGGGGCTTGGGGGACTGGGCTCCTAGTTGCCCCTTCCCCCCCCCCCTTTTCCTCTGGTCTCTGCCAAAAGGCACCATCTATTCCCAGTACTGGAGGAAGCACGTGGACTGAAGTCAGGAGGGCCCCCTCCTTCCCTCCCCCCACCCCACATGGCATCTCTGCCACTCCGTGAGTATTTCTTTGTGTGCCTTTTTGTTCCTGGGGAGGCTCAAAACGCCCAGCAGCTTCATGAGAGAATCCAGTCTTCGAGCATGGACGCCAAGTTGGAGGCCCTGAAAGATTTAGCCAGCTACTCCCGAGACATCACGTTTGCCCAGGAGTTCATCAATCTGGATGGCATCTCTCTCCTCACCCAGATGGTGGAAAGCGGGACTGAGTAAGTCGATTTGTCTGGGCTCCTCACTGACCCTATTCTTTCTGGTTTTAGGCCTTTGTACAGTGACCGGTGTGCTGGAAAAATGTTTAACAACCAGTTCTTTTTTGGGGGGAATATATGGATAGCACTTTAAAGTTTGTGTGTTTAACATTTTCTCTTTCCCTTTATTAAGTTTAAACAATCAACAGAACATTAAACCAGGCCCTGATCTGTAGCAATTGTCAATTTCTGAGGCATAAAAGCTCTCACTGAAAATTTAACAACTGGCTCTCACAATCTGGTCCGAGCCTACTTTAACATCCCCCACCTTGCAGCCTGTTCAGCTACCCTGCTCCTCTCCCCTCCCCACTCCCCACCAAGGGTTTTGCAGTGTGGAGTTTGACTGAGGTCATTCAAGGTCATCAGTAGACAGACCCAGACGTCTTATCTCCAAGGTCATGTGGGAATGGGCACATGCCAATCTGAGAATGCTGGAGAGGCAGAAAACAAGAAAGAAAAATCAAGTTATTCATGTCTTCCCAAGGCCCCTGATTCAGTTCTGAAATGGGATAGCACCATAAAACAGGACTCCCTCCTTTGCCCGCCCCCAGGCCTGACTCATCCCCAAGCGCTGGGCCAAAGTCACCAGTGGAGACCTTGGCTCTCTAGACCAGCTCAAAAGGCTGATTCCCCGACCAAGGTTTTCAGAGAAGCTTCTCGTGATTCAATGACTATCAGACCTTCCTGCTGCCATTTGTGTGGGTGTGTATTTCCCCAAGGGACCCTGCTGGGGGTTTCCAGAGCTGACTCAGCATGAGTCCCCCTTTTCTGTTCAGATCGATATCATCTGTCACTGCCTGGTTTCATGTCCTGAATGAGCAGCCTGTGGAACCCCAAAGTCTCTCTGTCTATCATGGCCTACCAGAAGGCATAGAGTGATAGACTTGGTGTCAGAAAGAGCTGGGTTCAAACCCTACCTTCAGCACCGACTACTTGTTTGTCTCCTGGCAAAATTTAACCTTTTGGGGCCTCTGTTTCCTTCTATGTGTATAACGGGGATAATAAAGCTCTTGGTAGCTTCCAGACAGGGTGGTTATGGGCCTGAAATGTGATGGGTGCTTGGCTGCTCCCGGGGCATACTATCATTATCACAGTATCTCGAGGACACCTTTCCCAACCAAGGTTCCCCCAGCCTCTCCTTGAAGGCCCCAGTGAGGGGGGGAGCCCCGGCCTCCCCCAGAGGCACATGAGCCTCGAGGGTAGTACTGATGGGTTTTCCTGGCATTGAGCCCAATTTTACCTCTTTGCTCATGGTTCTGAGGCAGGACTAATCCTTTCTTCTTGGGACAAGGCCTGGGGCTCTGTTTTTCTGGGCTATGCATCCTCAGTTCCTCGACCTGATTGTCTGCCTTTAGGCACCCTCTAGTTGTCAGGGTCCTTTAAATACGGTCCCCAGATTAGCTTTCCTTTACTTTGTGCCCTGGAAAAGAATGTTAAGGACAAGCTGGCCCTTCCCCTCTCCTCTCATCCTTTCCCCTCTTGAACCCTGGCTCTGATAAGTGAAGTTTTGCTTTATTTTGCCTGAACCAGGCAGCCAAATACCTCGGGGGCATTCCCAAACTGCACTGCCTACACCACCTGCATCTTCCTGCAACAGATTCCTCCCCTTTCTCCTTACCTGGTCCAGAACTGGGAGCGTAGACTGCCCACGTCACGCCACCAACCGTATCCCCTGCCCCGGCAGCCTTCCCCTTTGTGTGGCCTCCCCCTCTAAAGGGAAGTCCCTTTATAGCTTGTGTTTGTACTCCTACTTCTGTATCAGCACGCTCCTTGCCACTTAGTGAGAGTCAAAAACCTTTAAGCACCTACTGTGTGCCAGGAGCTGTGCTAAGTGCTGGGGACACAGAGAAACACAAGCCGTCCCTGCCCCCAGGGAGCTCCCAATCTTATGGGTGAGGCCAAGTCCTGTGGCCAGGGAGGGAGCTGGTCTAAGGAGGCGAGATGTTCAGAGTGGATTTCATCTGGCAGAATGACTATGAAGTCCAGGAAAGCAGCTAGGTGGGAAATGATAGGGCCAATTCCCAAAGAGGCCTCCCTCTGTGGTTTTGCCATGAACACTATTATAGCTTACATGCCGACTCTGCAGCTAGGTGGCACCATAGTGCATAGAGCGAGGGGCCTGGCAGTCAGTTAACCCTGTTTGCCTCAGTTTCCTCATCTGTAAAGTGAGCTAGAGAAGGAAATGGCAAATCACTCCAGTATCTTTGCCAAGAAACTCCAAATGGGCTCGTGGAGTGGGACATGACTGAAACAGCTGAACAGTATTCTGACTCTGCAGATAATAAGGTAGAAAAATTAGTTCATGAACTTGGTAAGAATCTCCAGGTTAAATGAAATCAGTGACTACTCTTTGATACTCAGTGACTACATTGTAAAGTTGAGCATAGGGAAGGATGGTGAAAAATAGAATTCAGATATATAACATATTAAAATATAGTGTGTGTTATTAAACATGTTTTAAATGTGTTTAATTTTAATATAATTTTACAAATTAATTATAAATATATGACTGATTTTATTTAATATATGAATATTTAATAGGAAATAGATATCAATATATCAAAAATATAACAAGAAGGGACAGAAACTGAAGCCATGTAGATTATACAGAAGTCTCATGCCATTACATCATACATACTTTCTTCTAGAATAGAATCAGGTGTTGTGAGGGTAGCAGGCAGCAAAGAACACAGTTGGTCTTATTTTAGAGGACTGCAAGTGACTGATGTGAGATTCATTCCTAAATTACCTCTCTGTGCACAGCCTCACCAGTAACTTGTTAGAACAAAAGTCACAATTCGGAACTTGTGTCTTATGAAGATCAGTTGAATTAACTGGAGCAGATTCAGATTTCACATGCCAGCTGAGCTGTCTTCAACCTCTTGAAGACCTGCCACATGGCAGAAAGATTAGAATTGTTCTGCGTGGTCCCAGAGGGCAGAGCTAGGAGAGACTCAGCTAAGAGGCTAACCCAAAGGCATTAAAGGGTGACATTACAAGGAAGACAACAAAGAGAATAAAACTGGAAAAGACCTGCAAAGCTGTTTATAAGAAGCTTTTCACCATCAAGTTCAGCGGAGCCACTGCCTTAACGTAAGAGGTCCGGATTAGTTAGCTGCATTAGAATGCAAGCTCTTGAAGGGCAGGGACTATGTTTGCTCACTTTTTATCCCCAAGGCTTAGCTTTGTGCCTGGCACATAGCAGGTGCTTGGTAACTACTTGTTCTTGAATTGATTACTGCATGAAGAAGTGGAAGTGGACTTCAAGATGGCCAAAATGGGAAAAGCAACTAGCCTGTGATAAGTATATACAGAGAGGGTTAAATAGGGTGTGGGTAATGAGGAACTGAAGGCATAAGGAACTGGTTAGTCATTCAAGAACTCTGAAATATCAGCATTCAAAAAAAAATCTAGTACATGTGCATTTCGCATAGCTTTCTAGGTGGGGAGGAATTACTGTTCATGCTGTGTGTTGGATATGCCATCAGTATCTTCCCTATAGGCCTTACTGACAGTGTCGAAAGCACTGCATTCAGAGACCAGTAAATCTGGTTTCAAATCCTGCTTTTGACATTTACTGGCTGTGTAACCATGGTGAAGTTACCTGCTTAGTTAGCCCCCTAAGCCTCAGTTTTCTTATCTGTGTAGTGGGGTTAGTAATACTTGTAGCTTTGGCCTCACAGGGGTGTCTCAAGGCTTGGGTAAGATAACATACCTTCACAGTTTCACAAACCTTGGAGGGCTATAAGAACCCCAGCTGCTGTTATGATCCTATGTCATCTGCATTTCTACCCTTGTCATAGCTTAGAGGTTTCAGATGAGTAGTGAGTACGCCAGCCTGGCATTCAGGTAGATTCTCTTGAGATTTCTCTGAACACTTCCCATCTCCCTGGGACACTGTGTGGGATTAATGAGGTGATGTCAGTATCACACTGCCAATCCCTGTGACAGTTGGTTCTAAATCAGTATGAAGTAGTATTTTTAGGCATAGATTTCAGTTGCTCCTAGAGAAAGAAAAGGAAGGAAGACGTTTCACTGATTCGTTGTTAGAAGAAGCATGTGTAATGGCTTCCTTCTGCGGGATATTGTGCTTCACAAAATCATTTTATCTAAATACAGTTTTTAAAAAATCCTGCCTTGTAACAGAAAAATTTCAGCAAAACCCAGCTGACAAAGTGACTATGGCTTTTCATGCCTGCAGACTCCCACCTTTCTCTTAGACCAGGGAGGGATGTTTCTTCCACCTTTCTCCGAGAACAATTAACCGCTGAAGTGCATCTGAATCCAGCAGCATCTTAGCCTCCCTCCATTTTCCAGTATTCTAATTGTAGATATCATCCCTTGGTTTATCTGCATCAGTTCTCTGAATTCCTTGCATCTGTTGACTCTTACAGCATCGTAATCTTCCTTCACGTTCATCTACCATAGCCATCTGCCAAGGAATGGGCACCCCTTTGATTTCCAGTTCTTTGCTCCACCAAGAGTGTGACTATGAATATTTTGGTATCTACAGGACTTTCTTTTCTGCTTTTGACCTTGTTGGGGGCATATGCCCAGTTGTAGGAGTCCAGGGTCAGAGGGTATGAACAGGTTAGTGACTTTTCCCAACTATTTTCAAATTGTTTTTCCAGAATGGTTGAACTTGTTCAAATGATTTGCTCCAACTAAAACAAGGAAGAAAAGAGGTTTTCATATGGGCTATTCAAGCTTCTTACAAAAGACAGTAAGACGTGCTCTTATGTCCTGGGAAACCATTGAGATAGAAAGCCACATGAATGGAGGAGAGCTAGTCAAAAGACTGTTAGTTGTTAATACTGGGCAGGATTCCAGATGTGGCCTTCCCTTTTGGATTCCTCCCTTTAGAAGTCCTGTGAAAAATGTGGGCTGGTTTTGAAGGGATCTGGTGGGAGAGCTTCCCTCAAGCTGAGTTATAAAGAAGTTCACTGGCTATTCACCTATTT